TTAACGGTGAAGGAAATTTCAATGGTTTACGTCGTGGTATAAAAGACGCTTAGATTGTAGTACTGTGGAAGAAGGAATATTCAGTTTGTTTAATTTTATTGAATTTGATGCTGCAGAGGTATTGACTGAGTTGAAATTCACTGGATTTAGAAAAAAAAAATATATTGTAAAATTTGAATATTCACTGGGTTAATAATACAGGCAACCAATCAATCTACTTGTAGAAGAAAATGCTTCCTGGTCTCTTTCTTAAACAATTGCTGATTGGTTATATGCTTCCATGGGTGTGTACGCATAGTTCCCAAGTGCAGGCTTTGTCGGAATGAGCGAGCATGCATCCGCGAGGTTATCCTCGGGGGCGGAGCTACGTCACAGACGTTCCACGTTGCTAAGACGCGCACCACTTACATGTATTTCTATGGGCTCTGTGTGCGCTGCTGTGGAACGCCGGTGAAAATTCGAGAAAACAACACAAACTCAACTTTGAAGTAATCCTGAACAACCAAATTTACTTATGTTACACACATAGGGCTAATCTTGTTACACTGTTCAGGGGGGTCTCAACAACCATCCCAAAGTACCGTTTTCTACGAGTTTTTGGCTTTTGTTTTCACCGCGAGGGTTGCCAAGCGGTGAAAAACGCCCGGATGTCCGCCCCCGAGGATAGTTAGAACCTACTTCAAATTCAGTGAATTTATCTGCAATCAATTGATTTAATATACGTCGTGCACAGTTCAAGTCACGTCATTGAGTTTAGATCGAACGAAGATGCACACACTTGACCTTTCCCCTTTACGGACTTTTGGCCACCTTCTGAATTTACAGGACGACTTCATCACTTGTACGTTGTCCTTTCGTCTGAATGAAATGGCATGCAGTCGACTCGGAAGCAGGGTTCGAAACAGCTTTGCATGTCGGGAGATTAGATTTTCCAGACTAAGATTTGAAAATTCACAAAGAATCTCGAGAAGACTGACGAAGGTCGTATTTTTTTTTTTAATTTGGACCATATCAAGTCTCTTCTTATAATGTTCGTCAAATTGATGGCTTATGTAGGAGGCAATACGACTTGTTGGGTGGGACAAAATGCGCATGCTCAGTTATGACGTCCATGCTGTTGGTGGTGGGAACGCACATACAGAAGATACTAGTAGGCAGACACATTTAAAGCGAGGGGAGCCGTCACATGCGCATGCGGCAGACGGCCATAGCTTGTCGTTGTTTACAAACTAGCGTCTGCTCATGAGCCTTTGCGTTTTTTGCTTGCATTATTATCGTTGCTTGTGACTAAATTCCCGCACTTGCGTAGGTGACGCCCCTTCTGTTTTAACAATATGCAGTATATCTGAAAAAGCATTATCAAGTTCCGTATTATTCAGTGTTATTCAAGCGCACCCATGGACGTGTGATCACGTGCCACCGCCTTCGTTATTCATAAAATATGTAGACGATAATATCGCAATCATCTCAATTTACCTTGATATTTTAATTCCAATTCCTACAATGGTGGCAAATTGGGTGACACGTGCCTGGCGTGGCGTCGACCATGCGCTCTGTCCAAACTTTCCTTCATGGGTGGAATGATACCGTATTGTTGTTAGCGATAACAATCTTAGTGGGCGCCAGTCACGTGATATTCGAAGCGTCGCCGCGTCCAGTCGTACTGTCAAACGAAATATACCAAAGTTCCGAGCCACTTACCAAGGCGGTACGTGCAGTCCAATTCGTCTTCTCACTCTGTTCTGTTTCTCAGAAAGCGAAACCGATTTATTATAGTGTGCACTTGACTATATGATTTTGCGTAAAAATAAACGAGTACGTAAGTATTCCTTAATTCGAAAAAAGACGCTTTTCCAATTTCCTGACTGCTACGTTGCAGCTCGCGACAGAAATGGCGCCGAATTTCTAAACGAAAACCACCGGCGTATTACATATTTTTCGAATATTTCTTAAACTTTCAAAGGCAACGTGGGATGGCTGTAAATACAAAATCAATATGTTTATATAAAACGCCAGTATAATAAAATATCTGCCTAAATTTGCATATTGCTTGTAGCTCGACAAACAGAACACTTATACTTCCGCTATTCTACGGGTCTTACTGGTACTCAACATAAATTATGCTCCCTATCTTAACGAAAAATACATTACCAGACTTCGATTAAATTGCAGCTAACCTCCACAAAACATTTTTAAACGGGGTTTGTAAAACATTGAAAGGTGTAATTATCGCGCAGAAATACGGGAGGCACGGTGCTGAGTTCCGGTCACGGATTATATCTCCAGTAACCTTCGCAAAGGTGTGTGCCTACCCACAGAAATCCGTTGGAGAGGTCCTATGTGATCAGTGATGGGGTGCGGGCTAGAAATAGAAATTATTGACAGGAATAAATATTGGGCATGCAA